CAGTTAGGAGACAATTGCAGTAATGGACTAGCCTATCTTGGACTAGTATTAAGGTAGAAGTGACTAGTTATGTTCAGATTAATCTGCCTTGAAGGTTGAACCAACAGGATTTGCTATTGGATCATGTATGAGTGCGAAAATAAGAGAAAAAGACAAAGATGAATCCAAGGTTTTCAGTCTGAGAGCAAGAGATATTGAAGGAAGGATCTGAGGTTCAGCTCTGAAGCTTCTTATAAGGACTTAACTCCTTGTCTGCTTTTCCTTTCCTGTACAATATTAGTAATAGTTTCTTTTTTGTAGAGGGTTGAGGATTTTATCAATGCAGTAAAACATGTAAAGCACATAGAGAAGTTGTGCTGGTTCCTTGTTTGTATGGAGACATAAAATGTGTGTGGGCATTACAGAGAAGAAAGTTGAAGGGTTGAATAGAGTCCAGGCAGGAGTAAGACGTGGAAGGACCCAGGAGCAGGAAAGAATATTGCATGTTTGAGTGACTGAACGTTTATTAGATCATAAGAAAATTTTAAACCATAGTAAATGTTTTAATTTGATCCTAAGGATAATGAGCCATTAAATGCAATATGTATGGCAGATACATAATCGTGTTCTCTCTTTAGAAAGATCACTCTGTCAGTGTGGGAACTGATTGGCGAGGTAGAAAGACCAGTTGCCATAGTCTAGATATGAGGGTGAAGAAGAGTGGGTAGATTTGAGAGACAGGCAGAACCAGTAGAACTTGATTGAGATGATGCATGAGCTATAAAAGGAGGCCACAGGGGTCAGTTTATTAAATTGTTTATTATATATTGTGTGTGGTGTCATCACTGGAGAAATAATTGAGAAAACATTTTCTATAGACTAGGAATCGTGACTCAGGACCACAACCAAGAGGCAGTGTGAGGTGTGTTCCAGCGGGGTCAGGGCAGAGGGGCGTTGGAAGGATCATGTAGGGAAAGTGATCTGGCTACTTTCTGTGAAAGGCTAGGTATGAATGTTTTCAGCTCTGTGGGTGATCTGTGTGTCTGTATGGTAGCTTCTCAGTCCTGCCAGTCTGGTACCAAACCTAATGTGACAGCATCTAAACAGCGGGAATAACTGGATTCCAGTAAAGCGCCCTGAATACTCATAGGCTATGGGCTCTGTTTGGGCTCTAGTTTGCCTGGATAGCGTTCAGATTCAGATTTCTGAATTCTCAAAAAAAAAAAAATTGGTATCTTTTGTTTTAGCTCCAGCCAGTTGCACATACCGCCTATTGCTCTGTCTTTAATCCAGAGCAGTGCCTGTCTCACACCTTTTTGTTTTCTGAAATTGTTTTGGAGAGTCCCTGCCTGTTGTACATAAGCTACATTCATGATTTATCAGAAAGTTTCCTCATTATTCGGCTCAGGTTAAACGTGTTTGAGTAAAAATGCTGCCTACATGGGAAGGCCCTGCGTCAGTTGTCCTCACTGTTGGTGTTGCTGGGTTGGATCATTTGATTAAGTTTGTGGTCAGTTTGTGCCAGCCAGATAACGCCTTGTTTCCCTTTGTCATTAATAAGCACTTGGTGGTGGCGATTCTTTGAGACTGAGACAAGGGGGGCAACATAGTGATTTTTTTAAATCTGCTATCCTGTGGTGTTAGCTGGCAGTCTTCCGTGAAACAGCTTTCTCATTTTGTGTGTGAGTTTCTTTTCAGGAGTGGTGGTTTCAGGTAGGGATAAAAAAAAAAAAAAAAAAAAAGGATAGTGATTATTAGAAATGCATAAACTTTACAAAGAACTATTGCCCGGATTATGGTTATTGTTCCCACTACTATTACTGTGTCTATGATTCTTGTTCTTATTACATTTTCAGGAACATCCCTGCGAGACAGTCAAAAGGAAGTTCTGCCGGACACAGAGCAGTGTGCAGCTAGGGATGGCTCACTCCCTGGCTCCTCTGAATCTGAAGAAGGAGGGGTATGGGGGAGCAAGGGGGGATCATGGCCCGACCTGGGGACAGGGACTCCAGCTGCAAGGGAACAGCAGAGGCGGAGGCTGGGAGCAGCTGTGCAGGCAGTTCCGGCAGTTGCGCTATGAAGACACCACGGGCCCCCGTGAGGCGCTGAGCCGGCTCTGGGAGCTCTGCCGACGGTGGCTGCAGCCGGAGACGCACAGCAAGGAGCAGATCCTGGAGCTGCTGGTGCTGGAGCAGTTCCTGACCATCCTTCCCGGGGAGCTGCAGGCCCGGGTGTGGGAGCAGCACCCAGCCAGTGCAGAGGAGGTGGTGGTTGTGCTGGAGGGTTTGCAGCTGGAGCTTGGAGCACTGGAACCACAGGTGATAAGTTACAGTCACTTGTGCTCCTTGGCAGGAAGCAGAAACAGACCTCTGACCAGAGAGGTGGAGAGAGCTCAGTAGAGGGGAGAGAATTGCTACCCTGTGTCGGTTTCGTTCCAGTCTAACTGTTGATCACTATAGGCCTTAACCCAGCCTCACCTGTTCTCTGCTGGGAGGAAACTAAATGCACCCCACATTCCCCAGCCTCCTTTTCTTGCTCTGGGGTTTTTCTTCCACTTGCTTTTCTAACACTGAAGTGTTTTCTGAACAGCCATGTTCCTCCTGAAGCCTCATGTAGCTAACTGTCCCTACATGTCCCTACAGGATCCAGACCAGGCAAAGAAACAGAAAATGCCGGTGGGGGAAACGGTGCCCCTGAAAGCAAAGCAGAAGCAGCAGGTCCCACAGGAGTGTGAGGTTCAAAGTCTGAGAAGGAGAAGGGTAAGGAGCAGATGCGTGTCCCACGCCACGTTTCTGCAGTGCCGCCCTTCCCCTGCTGCCCCACGCTGCACCCCAGCATTAGTTGTTTTCGCTGTGAGTCCATGAATTGGACCCAATGTCTGTGCAGTAACATTCATTCATGTAAGTCACTGTGTGTTCACACATGTGAAATAATAATCGTCTGATCTCTACACACCAGGATGTAAGCTCTCCTGCACCACCCCACACCTCCTGAACCCATCCCTTGTTGCTTTTGTTCAGCTAAGACCAAAACCTCCTCCTGTTTCGTCCTTTACCTTGCTCTTCTCCTTTTCTGCAGTAATGGATAAAAAAGGGGTACTAGTTTCTCCCCAAGGCAAAGAATTTCAGCCGCAGGCCTCATGACTCATTTGTGCTTGCTCAAATGGCTACTGGCTTTGTTTCTAAATGTCCCCTAGGTAATGTCTTTAAAAAAAAAAAGATTTATTTATTTATGCATACAAGAAACTGGGGTACAGGCCAGAGGTATGGGGGAGTGAGAGGATTCAACAGAGACAGAATGGGAGCAGAACAGGTGGATCTACTGAAATACACTGCTGAGGGAGCAGTGGTTGAGATAGAAGAGGTCTGCTGCGCCATGTGGGTAGCTCCCTGGCTGGGGATTGAACGCAGGCAATGGTGACAGCGCTGAGACTTAACCCCAAGGCTACCAGGGAGGCCCTGATTTCCAGTTTACTCTTGTCCCAAGATTTCTCCAACCATAGAAGGGCTCGAACTACATGGTAGGTAGTTGTTGTCTTACTTCCCTTTTTCTTCTGCCAGATGTAAAGCAAGGGCTTTGTTTTCTTTCCTGAGTCTACTACAGTCCCTGACTTAGTCCAGTTGATAACATTTAATCATCAAGATTAAAAGATTTTTAATCTTTATTCTGAAGTCTTCCTTTACGTACTGTCTTCCTCCCTGTTTAACTGTAGGGTCAGCTTCAAAGTCATCCTTCTGCTAGATGCTTTCTTTGAGTAAAAGTAATTGAAAGAGTGGGGCCCGCCTTTTCTCAATAGCCTTGCAAAGTGCATTTTAAACATGAAAGTGAATGTAGTTCCTGTAGATCCTTTAAAACCTCCTCTAGATCTATTGAAAATGTTACTTTATTCAAAGTTGAGGTTGATTTTGGTTGCTGGAAAAGACTCTGCCCCTCCCCTCTCTTGATCCAGGGCAGGGCCTTTATACTCAGGACACTGCATAGTTTAATCCCCAACGTGTACCTTTACTTTCTCTGATGTTCTCTTACCTGTCTCTTTACCTGCATTTTTACTTTGGCTGTCGTCTGCTCCCTTTTTTCCAACATTCAATGCCTTTATCTTGCTTACGCTGATGACCCTTCATTGGTTTGCTGTGGGTGCTGCCTGGGGTCTCCTTCTCTGCAAACATGGGCACCCACAGTGCTTCCACTGGGCACACATGGCTCCATTTAAATATTTCCCCCTTAATTGCAGATGCCCAAGCACCAAGAAACAAAGAATTGTTCTTGTCTTTAATGTTCCAGGGGAGAAGAAAAGGACAGAGAATGGGAAGCTGTCTGTAGAGACAGACTCTTGCAGAGGAGTGGAGTCCCCCAGGAAAATTGACCAGCCCTTGGACGCATGTTGCACAGACTCTTTCACGGAGGGGCAGCAGACGAAGCCTCAGGAGAAGACTGGCCTTCAATGCCCAGGACGTGGGGAGGGATGCACCCAGCACTCAGATCTGAGCAAACATGAAGGTGCGTGCCCAGGAGAGAAACTCTGTGACTCTAACGTGCTTCCACATGCCAGTCTTACTGGACGTCAGAAAATTGGCTCCAGAGACAAAGGCCATCAGTGTCATGAGTGTGGGAAGGCCTTTCAGAGAAGTTCACACCTTGTCAGACATCAGAAAATCCATCTTGGTGACAAGCCTTATCAGTGTAAGGAGTGTGGGAAAGTCTTCAGCCAGAACGCAGGCCTTCTGGAACATCTCAGGATCCACACTGGTGAGAAACCATATCTCTGTATCCACTGTGGGAAGAACTTTCGGCGCAGCTCCCACCTTAATCGACACCAGAGGATTCACAGTCAGGAGGAGCCCTGTGAGTGCAAGGAGTGTGGAAAAACCTTCAGCCAGGCCCTTCTCCTCACACACCACCAGAGAATCCATAGTCACTCCAAAAGCCACCAGTGCAACGAGTGTGGGAAAGCCTTCAGCTTGACCTCAGACCTTATTCGACACCACAGGATTCACACTGGAGAGAAACCTTTCAAATGCAGCATATGCCAGAAGGCCTTCCGACTGAACTCACACCTTGCTCAGCATGTGAGGATCCACAATGAAGAGAAACCCTATGAGTGTAACAACTGTGGAGAAGCCTTCAGGCAGAGGTCAGGTCTTTTTCAACATCAGAGATATCACCACAGGGACAAAGTGGCTTGATGAGGTGGCCACATGAAGGTACAGGAGATTTAACAAAAAGCACTTTCCTCCAAGACACAGGACATTTGACAAAAAGCACTTTAGGAAAAGTCACTCCAGCCCACTCTGACTTCAGAGAATGCTTGGGGGCCAAGCTGGAGCCTCACTGCAGTCATCCTTTCTCCTTTGTTTTCCCTTGAAGTCAACTTTGGACCACAGTCATTTGACAGTTCTCTGGAATGAAAGCGGAACACCATTCTTCACTGCAGGACTCTCGGTCATTTCTCATGGCAGAGGCAGGACTCTGCATCTCTAAATAGTACAGGGCCTCGGGATTGAGTGAGGACTGGAAAATCAGTGAATCAAGTGTCCACAGATTTACCGACTTAAACAAAACAAGAGCAGGTTGATATTTTTGCATCAGACCCCTGTATAATAAAACTAATGATGTTTGGAAATATATCACCGTCAAAGCTTCCCTCAAGTGTTGGTTAACGGCGACCATTTTCCCTCACTGGCTTTATTCCCCACCCCGTGCCCACTGTTGTTACCCCCATACTCCCTGCCCCCCAGCAGCACAAATATTGTGGAAAGCAAAGAGAATCTAGTTTTACCAATGCCTTTCCATCCTTGCCACTCTACTTCTTTGATTCAAGTTAGAAAGGGAAAAGATTTCCTTTGAAATGAAAACAAGCTGAATTAATCCAAGTGGCAACAGTCTTACTTGATAACTGCATTGCCAATGTAATGTCTGCTCTATCAGGAGTGCCTGGAGTACACTTGTTTCCTTCCAGTAAAGGTTTCTTTTAAGTTAGTTTGGATTGGGTATCTAAACCTTGCCAACCAAGTAGCCAACAAACAATAACCCCTAATTAAGACAACCAGCTCATGCAAAGTCTTCATGGAAGATAATCTTCAATGAGTTGCACAATACTCCATGACATGTGTCCTCTTGTTAGTCTGTCACGTTGCCAGTATTTCAGTGACCATCCATGTACATACAACAACCTTGTACCTGTAGTCTTATTCTATTCAATGCCCATAACTAGAATAAATGTAACAATGGGCAAGTATATTTTCTAAAGCTTTTCATGTATTTGCCAGGGTTATACTGATCTGCAAATCCTGTTAACAGTCTGTGAAAACACCCTCATCAGCCCTGGGAATGATTATTTAGAATATTTGATAATCTGATGTATACAAAATGGGTCTTTTTTTTTTTAAAGATTTATTTATTTATTAAATATACGAGCACTGGGTACAGTCAGAAGCGCGGAAGGGTGAGAGAATCCACCAGAGCCAGAGCGGGGAGCAGAGCAGGCAGAAGGACAGAAGTACATTGCTGAGGGGAGCAGCGGGCAGCAGGAGAGGTCTGCGTGCCATGTGGGACCCTCCTCCAGTGGCCGGGCCAGCAGCCTGGGATCGAATTGGCGCCGCCGAGGCTGTGGGCAGCTTCACAACCCAGCGCTCAACCGCTGCACCACCGGGGAGGCCCTGGCTCTGCCTTTTAAAGAGTTTTTAAAGGATATTTTTACAATCAAAATTGAACATTTTTTTTGCCAGTTAATTGGTCATTTGTAATTCTGATTTTGTGACTAGCCACATTCTGAATTTTTCTTATTTCCTTTCTCACACAAAAATTAAACGGGGGCTGTATATCAAAATTTTAAATGCACCTGGCCTTTCACAGATCAATGCCAACATACAGTGTCTACTCTATAAATAATCACAAGGAAACGAAAAAACACGCTATAATAGGCTGAATCATTAATTATAAAGAAAAATACATAGCCTAAATATCCATCAACCAGAATAAATTATGAAACAGCCATACAATGTAATACCATTTAGCTGTTAAAGAGTAAGCTGGTAAGAGATTGCCAAGCTTTCCTATATTAAAAAGGCTGAGATAGGACATAACATTGTGATACCATGAGTGTTTTATGATACTTATTCGCTAAACAAATGCTGCTAGTGAGTGCTACTGGGTGGCAGGCAGTGCCCTAGGAAGACACACCAGATGTTAACTATGGAGTGTGGGACGAATTTCATTACACAGTTTCTATGCAGCCTGAGTATATATCCTAGCTATGGTTACATGAAAAAATTAATTTGTGTCGATTGCTATTTATTCATCTGCGATGTATTTATTCACCAGCAGCTAGTGAGGAGCCTAAAGATGTTACCGAACGCCGGCCTCAGTTTCCCTCAGCCAATAAAAGGAAACTAAGTTTGAGGAAAAGGAAAGCGGTTTTATTTGTCGACAAATGAGGAGGGAGGCAGACTCATGTCCGAAAAACCACCGTCCTGCTCTTTGGCAGTGGGCAGGGGTATTTATACAGGGGGAGATGGGTAGGCATCCGCGAAGGGGAGGGGGAAGGGGTCCCCACAGAGACAAGTGGGCGCCAGCTCAACAGGGAGATGGATGGGTGTCAGCTCATTCATCTTAAGGGAAGGGGAAGGTGTCAAGGCACAGAGACGGGTGATCGCCAACTTGTTTTCCTTAAGGGTCTACAGGGAACCCGGTGGGCGCCAGCTTTTTTTTCTTCCCAAGGGGAGGGGAAGCTGCAACAAATGGGAAAGACAATCCATCAATCCTGTTAATGCTAGATAAGGGGAATTGCAAAAAATGGGGGAAAGACAAACTTGTTAACTGTATCATAATCCCCACTCTCAGTTATGACCTTCCATTTCTATGGGAAAAGGGGCGTCGTGTCATCTGGCTGCTTCCTGCTGAACAGGGTCGTCGTGGTGGGGGGTTTACGATGGAAGGCCTGCACTTATTGGTGCCATAGTTCCCGACAGACATGATGTTAAGGTCTTGGTGCTGGTGTGGCAGCGACAAGATATACAACACAGCGTAGTCCTAAATGTAAGAGGGATTACTTTTTCTCTTCCTCAAGATGATGACATTAAGGTTATAGCCCTCACTGGAGAGGACCAGAGAATAATATAGTTACGGAAACATAATTTTTCTCTACCCTCATCCCAATTCTGTAAAATAGTAAACCAAATCTAATTTTAACAATTTTCCCTATATTTGCATAAACTCATAGGGCAGAGTAAACAAGTAGAGTGTTGTTGGCTTTGTTGAAAATTCCACAGGCCTTAGCGTGAGCTTTTTAACATCCAGTCCATGCCGGCTTTATCAAAGTCACAGTCTCACCAATCTTCACCTGAGATTTCCTCTTCTCAAGGTTCCCAGGACTTTTTCCAGGGTTTTCCTCAGTCCTGTCCATGGAGGCAGCTTCCTCATTTTTCATGGAGGTCTCTGGAACCCAGTAAGCAAGGTGACAGGATCTTCTTGGCTCGCTCTTCTCAGCTCAGCACGGTTTATTCCCAGAAGAATTTCAATCAAAGCCTTTTAACAAAACATGTTTAATTTACCAGGTTAAGGAGAAATAAATAAAATTCCCTATTGAGATTATGCAAAGATAGACATTGTCCTGAGAAGTACAAATATTGCTTATAAATTTTTGGGATGAGACAAGAGAAAAGCAAATGCTTCAGTTTGTTCATAAAAAGATGCAAATTGTCATTGTTAAGATCATAGCCCAGCTTAAAGACAAGGTTTCTGGAGACCCAAAAAACCAAAACATTAAAAACTAATTTTTTTTAAAAAGTCATGAAATATTATTCAAATCTTCCTCAGTGTACTTTCCATATATTAAGTCTCCATCTTCTGTTGGTAATTTTCATAAATCAAATTTTTATAGGCTCAGTAGGTCTTTTCAGTTCCAAAACATATCTATGTTGTCAGTCTCTTTTTGTGAGTTTTTTTTAAAGACAAAGCTCAGCAAATAAACTTTAGAAAGAACAAAAACTCGAAAATGACCATACCTAAAATCATGGCTTAAGGTAAAAGACAAGGATGTTTGCTCAATTTTGTGACACACATACACATATATATTTCAGTATAATCAGAACCATCCAATAATATTATACCAGAACATACTAGGTTTTAAAAATCGCATATATTTTAGAACACTTTAATCAATTTTATATATGCTGAAAAGGTATAACTTTTTCCCTCAATGACAATTTTTATGAAGTTTTAACATTTCTAGATTGGTCCAATGTGTTTTAGCATTTTGCTATAAGGAAAATAATTTATTAAGAGTCCTAAGACGCATCAAATAATTTTACTTGATTCAAAAAAAAACTTTACCATTTCTGAACTTTGACTCCAAGAAAAGTTTCTTCACAGGCTTAATAATATATACAGATTTTTATAAAACAACACTAAGGTACCCAGAGTGATAACTAGAGGTTTTTAAAAGTAGATATATTTTCACAGTGCTCAACAATGCTGACAGGACTATATTTTTCAGTTTACCAAGTCCAAGGGTAAAAGAGAACCAAGATTTCAGATTACCTAAACAGTTTTTAATTTGTCATCAAGAACTAGTAAAAGCAGTTTAAGAATACTTGAGCCTTTACTGCAGATGGAAAAGAAATTAAATTTTGGTTTTACGTAAGTACACCACTGATAATAAATTTGAATATTCCTAAAGCAAGTCATTCTAGCACATAGAATTTTACTAAGATACTGTTAGGGGGAAAAGGCAGTCCCAAAGCAAATTCCATACAGGCTTTGTGGACTCCACCCCCACCCCAGGTCAAAGCCAAAGACACTGGGAACTCCAAATCCCATCACCACCCAAGGGAAGGTGGCTGGGACCTGAGGGTGGGGTTAAGCAGCCAGGTGGATACAAAAGGCAGACACGTGGGCTTTGGGGGTCTCTCCATTTTGGGGCCCTCGGCCAGCTCGCGGCGTCCGTCTAGCTCTGAGAGTGACTTTGGGGTTTCCAGGTCGTCGGATCGGGTAGGACGCATTAAAGACTTTATTTCCCTATTTTCTCCCTGAGTTGTACATTTTCCTTATTTCTTTTTCTCTTGTAAATAAACCTTTTATTAACCCTTTTGCGTGTGTCTGTAGTAGAGTATTCATAAGTTCCTTTAAAGCGCGCGGGTGAGGACCCACAGCCAGGAACCCGTTTAATATCGGGGTTGCTCTATAACAATACCTCTCTCAGATCTGCAAAGCTTTAACACCTTTTTTTTTTCAAGATAGCTATTTTGTTTTGACACTAAATTTTTCAGACCTTTAGCATATTTTTTACATACATATCTTAACACAATCTCGCTTTATTTGCATTTAGAGTTACAACATTTTAGTTTTTAATTTTTAGATTGTAAGACTGTTATAGAAGACTTTTGTCTTTATTTATGCCCACAGGCCCAGAGATCTTTTTCCAAAGTTCAAGCCCCCAGCAATTAGGCAATAGAGCATCCATTGCCCCAGCAGAGGCACATTCGCACTTTAAAGCAAGCAGGGAGTACAGAAGCTGGAGACTCCCAAGAGGTCATCTGGGACACACAAGTCAGGCGCCTGGCCAGAGAAAGTCCATCAGTCACTCCCTGAAACTTTTAGTCCACTCAGGCCTTGTCCCAACAAAACCAGCTAATTAACAGGCAAGCCTCACATTTTTTACTTTAAGACATTGTTAGAGCTGTTATGCTATTATTCCTTTGTACTGGATAACTCATACATAAACACATGTTTTATTTTTTCCTGGATGATAACAATAAAGTTTTGTTTTCCTACTATAAGAAGCAA